ATCATGCATATTACAAGTCACATACACATTTTACCGTTTAAAAAAAATGAATATTAATAATGAATATCCATCCATATAATGATTTCTGATTAGATATATAATTTAGGCTCCAGGCTAAGCAAACAATTAATAAAACACAGTCATAAGATCAGTGTCTAGATCGAGCTGACCATGTTCACTCATGAGTTGGTTTAGGTGGGTGAGTGATGTATGTTCAGTTGTCTGTCCTGATGGAGGTGTATTCAGTTAAGCTGTTGATTTCTGGTGTTATGATACAGTCTAGGGGTATATCATAATAGACAAATAGTGTATAGGTTGGAAAGGCTGGGAAAGATAAAACTTATTATAAGAAATGTGCTTTCAATGGGATTTATTTAATAATAGTAACTGGTGACAGACAATTGGCTCAGACATGGATATTGCCAAAGCAACAAACAAAACACCTCTACCTAAAAACAAAACCTATACTATTCAGCGCAAAAAAAACTCAAAGACAATACACTATACTTAACTCCCTAACTGACCCAAAAACAAATATTAAAAAGAGTAAAAGAAACAGCGGCACCCACATCCTACAGCCCAAATGAAAAATGACAACTAGTAACAAACAGAATATCTAATCTACAAATGGATCCCAGGAAAAACAAGACAAAGGAAGGGATCAAGCAAAAATGGACAGAAAACTAGCAAACATCATACAACGAAAATCCAAAAGAATTTTATATCTGAGAGCACGCAGGCTGCGGTGTGGGGAAAACTGCTGTCTTTTGAAGTGTCACGGCAGAAATAATCCACGTCGACTGAACCAATGAAAATCCAGGCAGAGACGCACACACATGTGAAGTGGATCCATGGGTCAGAGGTTAACTTGAAACATGACGACATGTGACCTAAAACAAGGTGGCAATACACAAACAGTACAAACACCTACACACCATAACAACAAACACTTACACACCGTAACACTAGTTTGTCTTTTTCTTCTTGCTCGGATCTTATGTGGTCAATCGCAGCAGAGGGCACAGAATCAGGAGTCTGTTAACATATAAACGATACAATCAGATTTCATAAATAATCCAAAACTGAATTTATAAACTGAATATTACTTCACTGAAGTTGTTCTGATGGGTTTTGCTTTGATTCCCTAAAACAGAAAATCACAGGCTAAAATTTATCTTAAAGGGCATAGTGATAAATAACATACCAGTCAGAGATAGAGACAGAAAATCTGGATACAAAGTAACAATTATGGTGCTAAAAAAGAGGGTCCATTTTACGAAGGATATTATTGTTGGTGCCTTCAAAAATTTATATAATAAAACTAGAAGACCACCAACCTAGGGATTTTTATATTATTAGTCATGGTAGTAAAATTATGAAGTGGAACTTTACAAAAGTCAAAATGGCTGTGGTTGGGTCAGCAGTCTGTCATCGTAATACACAGTGGTGCTTAAAAGTTGGTGAAGTCTTCAGAATTTTCCACTACATAAATATGATCATCAGATTTTCACAATTCATAAAAGTAAGTGAGGAGAACACAATTGAACAAATGAGACAAAAATGTCATAGTTGGTCATTTATTTATTAAGGAAAATGATCCATTCTCAGAAATCTGAGTGGAAAAAGTTTGCTTTCAATATTTTGTGTGCAACTAAGCCTTTCCAGTAGGTCTTCGTCAGTGTTGCACATTGGCTTTGAGGAATTTTAGCCCATTCCTCCATCAACTCAGAATTGCATCAACTCAGGGATGTTGCTGGGTTTTTTCAAATTAACTGTATGCTTCAGGTCCTTCCACAACATTTCTACTGGGTTAAGGTCAGGACTTTGACTTGGCCATTCCAAAACCTTTACCTTATTCTTCTTCAACCAGTCTTTGGTAGAATGACTTGTGTGCTTGGGGTCGTTGTCTGCTGCATGACCCAGTTTCTCTTGAGATGTAGTCCATGGCCAGATGTCCTGACATTAGAATTGATGTTTTAAATCATATTTATGCAGGAATATGGAAAATCCTGTAGGGTTCATTAACTTTCAAGCACCACTGTACCAAGTGTGTCAGGGATCCGGGCAGCTCGGGCACGGGAACGAGGCATGACCAGGGCACAAAAAGGTGGACAACCCACTGGCGGCTCCAAGAAACAGATGGGGATTTATTACACAAAACCAAAAGCACAAAACCCCAATATACCACACACTGAAGACCCTTTGAGGTTCTGGGATATGCACCAGGCTGTGTATCCACACTTACACGAACTTGCAGTACAGTTTTTATGCACTCCAGTGTCCTCCGTTCCATGTGAGCGGGTATTCTCCGAAGCAGGAGAAGTGGTGAATAAAAAACGTAACCAACTTAGCCCCCGCACTGTTGAACAAATACTGTTCCTGAATAAAAATCTGTAGACTAATGGCCCTCTTCCATTACACAAGCACCCCTTTCCAGTTAAGTCAATGGTTTCCCAGTCCACAAGAAGTCACATTCAATTTCACCAGGTCATTAATGTTCATGACGCACTACAGATCATTAGAATTTTTGCCAATTTATAAATATTCAGATTCACTGCACTCACTCAAAATTAAGTGTTATTTCCTTATTTGACCACTTGGTGTCACTAGTGGTCACCATTTCGGAAGGCTTCGAGTACTGAACCATTTTTCGACACACTTGAAAAGGAAGATTCAGTGCTTTGAAAAGCTTCGTTTTGCCAACACTACTATCTAACCTCACAAAACTTAAGACAATCAAAATCCGCCAACAATCAACAAACCACTAGGGAACAGAACAGAAGCAGGGACTTAAATACAGAAACCAAACTGGGTAATAAGACTAACACAGGACAGGTGAGACTAATTAACAGACCAGGAAAACAGGGCACAGGTGAAACTAATAAACTCAAAGGAGCAACACAGGGAAACTAACCAAGGACACAAGGAAACAGAAACCAACACTAGGGAATTAAACAGGTAAAGACACAAGCAGGGGCACAAGGAAAAAAAAAACAACTACAAAATCAGACAACTAGAGAAACTCAAATGAAATACTAGGGATCAAAAATACAAAAACAAAGGAGGTGGGATTCAAACACAGGACAGAAGGATACACAGACAACTGGCTGCTCAACATGTTGAGCCATATGGCCAAACAGGAAACAGGGGAGAACAAAAGACCAACATGAAGAACGGGATGACCAGCAACGCCTGCTGGCCAAACGGGGAAGGGACACGGTAGGACCACCGGGGCTGACCCTGACAAAGTGATGAAGAAGGTCCAGTTTAAATTGTCTTGCTTTTTTCATAATCATATTAAAATGTTCCTGGATTAGTAATTATTCTAAGAAACTACATTACATGCATTGGGCTTCTTCTTGAGACTTTAGGCAGCAGTACTGTGTCTCACCTGCTTTTCTCCTCATTATCACCATGACAACAACAGCCACGCACACAGCTCCAAAAGAGCAACTCCAAGCACAATACCTGCTAGGAGAAGATTAGAGATACTGAGAGAGTGCAGAACAGGATACTGTACATTCAGCTGACAGATAATGAAAGTGTAAAATCTGGTGTTGTGCTGTGTATATATAGCCTGTCACTGTATTCTCTGTCATTGATGACTGACTATATTCTTCAGACTAAATGTGTGTATATATACAGGTCTGGAAAAAAATTAAGAGACCACTCTACATTTTTTAAAAATCTACATTTTTAAATCCTGGTTTAATCCTGGTTCTGCTGACAGAAGGCTACACTGTGAGGCAGGCTGCTTCCAGGCTCAAAGTTTATAAGAGAGCAGGACACAAGAACAAGGTGAAGCAGGAGACACTGGCAGTGACCAGAAGCCAGCCAGGTAGAGGGCAGAAGCAACTTTCTAATGTCAGAGATGACCATCAACTTATCTGACAGTTTCTCATGAATTATAGGATGACATCAAGTGACCTTCAAAAGGAATGGGGAAACATTAAGTGTAGGTGTGAAGTGCACTGCTAGAGTAGTTTGTATCAGGCTTCTAGAAGCAGGACTGAAGTCCCATAAAGCAAGGAAGAAGCCCTTCATTAATGAGAAACAGGGAAGAGCCAGGCTGGAATTCGCATAATGTGTATTTTACACAGACACATACCTATGAAATGAGAAATAAGTGAAACTGAATATTTTGCTGTGGCCTCTTAAATTTTTCCTGAGCTGTAATTACATGTGCAGCTGGTAAGAAAAGCGAAAACACTGTACCTGCTGTAGTTGGACTTCTATCTGTCACTTGTAGAAGAAGCAGAAACTGTTACAATAATATAAACATTCCCCCGTATTTTATAAACAAAAGCAGAATTCAGTAGAATTAAAAATGCAATTATGCTGAGAGTAATCATGATCACTGGAAAAGACATTTGATTATTATCTATAAATATTTATTTTATCGACTTTCAGAATATCACTCAGAAACTAGCAGTGTTGCCTCCAATGTCCAAGGTTTGGGTTCGAATCCCACCTCTGCTGTATGTGTGCAGAGCTTCACATGTTCTCCCCGTGTCACAGGGGTTTCCTCATGCAGTCTCATACGTGCAGTTGGGGTAACTGCTGTCTCTAAACTGCCAATATTGTGTCTGTGCCCCATGATGGACTGCCATCCTGCCCTGGGTGTCCCCAGCCTTCTACTCTATGCTGCATTGGACAGGCTCCACCCCCCCCTACCCTGACCATGGTAACTGGTTAGAAGATGGACGAGAGGTAAGGAGCAAGCACTGATTACAGTGTGTTGCTGCACCCACCACACAACAAACCACCTCAGGGATGAGAACCTGAGTGCAGCTGTGTGGCAGGCGACACCTCAGTATCACACTAGTCCAGTGGATGGAGAGCCAGTCCTGCCACCAGCCCCCAATAAGTTGGAGGACCTCCTAATAGGGCTGGATGTAGATTAACATCATGGACGGGTGAAATGTAATTCTCAGCTTTATGTTACTAATTCATTTCTGTGCCACCGTTCTGAATATTATTTTCAGTGTAATATTTCCTACCAGTGAATGTGCTGTTGAAGCTTTGTGAGATCTTCACTTCCCCCTTATCAGTCAGCTGACATTTCCAGTTCCTGCTGTTGTCTGTCTGCTGAAGTTCAGTTGTCAGATTGGAGTCGCAGGAGAACGTGTGTATCTGGTACCTGGGATCTCCCTGCAAATCAGTGTCTGAGTCATTCAGCCACCTCAGGGTCAGACTGTTAAATGGGCGTTTATTACACTGCCCAGGACCATAATAGGTGTACAGGAGACACTGTAGGGTCACGTTGCTGCCAGGCATCAGATTTTTTGGTGGAACAACTGAGAAAGAAACAAGAGAAATGACAGGTTCATAAGAATATCATGGGAACACATGTACAACCATTAAACGTTTTACATGTTAACATTTCAACAAGGGAGGGATTTTAAATGCCTGAAATATAAACAGACTTTATGCATATGGCATAGCTCATAAGTAGATCAAACCTTGAAGAATATTTTCTCTTGTATATTTTTATCAAGAGATCATGGATTACTTCTCAAATAATACTTTTAATTAATCAGCATGCATTAATTATTTCAGATACATTTTAAGAACATTAATAAAATTATATCTAACAATGAAGTTTATACCTGTGAGTACAGACATGTAAACTACAGCATCATTTCCAAGTTGCTTTCCATAGATCATCTGCCTACAGGTGTAGGACCCAGCATCTGCAGTGCTGACTTTATGAATGTGCAGAGAGCAGTCAGACCCAATTGTCATTTTCTCGTTTCTGTGTGAATTATTAACCACTTGTACTAATTCCTGACTTATGTTCTGAGCATAAAGCCACGTAGTTGAGGAGCAGTTAGAATGAATGACATTGTTACATGGGATAGTAACATCATCTCCCTCTCCGGAGTTCACAGTGAGCTCTGCACTGACACCTGGGGGGAGAATGGAAGCAAAAAGAAATGATATTCACTATGTATTCCTCATGATAAAAATTCCCCATTACTCCTACAGAGATAAGCACCAGAGACACATAAAGGTAAAAGTGACTGGCAGCTGATTCTGGTTTTCACATGAGCTGGATTTGAATTTGTTTAAAGAATCTACTGCATAAACAGTTACACCATCGTTTGTTGGGTACTGAAGCTTAAAGGAGAAGGTGACATGTATCAACACTAAAAAAAAGCATAAAACCTGCTCCCAGATTGAGTCATATACTTCCTTAAAACTGAAGGCTATTGTTTTATTTACTTCTTAATTATTCAGAGCAGAACCCAGAAAAGCAGACAGGAAATTTTGTTTATCAATGTAACATATTAATAAACATTAATCTACTGTTTATTTACCTAATTAAAGACTCCTGAATGAGACTAAAGCAGATATAGAACATAGGTTTGAACCTTCTTGTGTTATGAATCAGTATGAACCAGAGCATGTGAGCGGAGCGTGAGCGAGGAGCGGACGGAATTCGGTCAGAGCGCGGAGCGGTTTTCTAATTAAGGCTGGAGCGGTCGCTTTGTCTCGCTCCAATTTCGCTCCGATACCGCTCACACTACAATTCTGAGGCGTGCCCGAATCTACCCAGAATTCATCTGAACAATTATCAAGACTGTTACACAAATTGGCCGAGATGGAATTCGCAAAGTATTTCACAAAGGAAACTGATAAATCCTACAAGTGTACTATTCTTATCAAACGTATAGATGACAAGAATGTACAGCAAGAACAACAATGTGGTGAAACTGTTTCAGTGAGTTAAGATTCACTTTGGAATCACTTTTCTCAGAAACGAGTGTGCTACGCGAACAAACGGAAGCCAGAGCAAAACGCGTGCAAGTTTTATATGGTTTTACCATATCGAGTCTATAAAGTAAATTAAAGTATAAACGCCTATAAAATAAATATTGGTAATCAGATAAATTCGTTTTCTCATTCAAAGTAGGTCTAATAAGATTTTTTTAAAATTTCACGTAACGTAAAATTTTATTTTAGAGACGTGCTGCATCAACAGAAAAAAATTGAGGAAATTAAAACGTGTCTATATTCTTTAGGCTATTAAGCCCACTGATTCCTTTATTTTGAAGCCTATTTTTGTGTGGAATGCCATTTCCAAACCTGTCCGTTGTTGCCTATACTGGTTGCTTAAAAATAAATATTTCCTGTTCTGACTGGCAATGTTGCCGTTGCTCATATTTCTTTATGACATAAGGCTTCGGTTTAAGGTGACATTTGTTAGGCATGCAGATTATGTGTCCCTCTTTTAAATTGGAGCGAGCGTGTAGCGATTTGACTGGAGCGGGAGGACAAGAGCATCTGGCTGCAGATCTCCACCAGGAGGAGCTCCACTACAGGGACGGAAACACGTGAACTCCACAAGTGAGTCCGGACATGACGTTATGCAAACTTACGCCATGGAGGCAGTACCAGATATCACATGATCTCCACGCACAGCCTGGATTTGTCAGTGGGAGGGTGTTTAGCTTTGTCAAAAGAAAAAAGTGGGTAGAACAAGCAACAATGGTAGCATTCTACCGCTGTTTTTTTTTTTCCAAATTTAGCTTTAAATTGGTTACTTAAGCTAAGACTGACTGTCTACGGAAAAAGAAAAAATATTTATAAAATTCTAAATAAATGTATAAATATGTCTTGTGCGCACAAGTTATTATTTGGAAGGAATAGATTAGCTGCGTATAGATGCCATATTATAAGAGGTTTATTTCAGGACGCCATACTACGTTTGCTTGACCTGGCATTAGGGTACAGTAAGATACAACAGCCTTGTAATTAATATTACTGGAAGGAGTAAATACAACGCTGCCGCGTAC